AATCATAGGGTTGTAGAGGGGGATGTTGGGGATGCGCGGTTTTGGGAGGGATTTAGGAAGGAGGTGCGTTTGCGGTTTCCCTCCCCTGCTGTGTGAGATGAGATAATATGTGAAGTGGTATTTTTGTGGGGAAAGGATAGCTGGCTAATTGGTATGCTGGTGGGTTGAAGAGCGATATAGATATCCTGGTTAACTGTGCGGGAGTAGCTCATTACTCGCCGCTGGTTGCCACGAATCCAATGTCGTTAGAGAAGACGGTGCAGACGAATCTTGTGGGGACGATGTTGGGATGCAGGATGCTGGGCAGGAATATGATGAAAAAGCGTGAAGGTGAGTGTTCTTTGTCCTGCTAGGAAGTTATTCTGTGGGAGTTTTCGACGAAATGGGGCTAATGAGGAAGCAGGTTGTATCATCAATGTAGCTTCACTGCTGGGCCTGAAAGGAGGGAAGGGGAGTGCGGCGTATGCAGCAAGTAAAGCTGGAGTCATCGGTCAGTCTTGAAATCTATCAGATCCTTTCATACTAACTGCTCCCAGCCTTGACGAGAGCATTGGCAGCAGAGCTGGGAGAGAAGAACGTTCGAGTAAATGTCATTGTACCAGGCTACGTAGAAACGAGTATGACGAGAGGTATGTTTGTCTCATAAAATACATTCTTTCATTTCTTTTGGCTTGCTGCAAATGTCATCCCTTTGATGAATTGCTTTCTAATATACAAGGTACAGTCATGACGCCAGATGCACACTCTGCAGCCCTAAACGCCATACCCCTTAAGCGGTTTGGGCTGCCTTCAGAAATTGCAGATGCCGCAGTGTTTCTGGCCACAAACAAATACGCAAGTAATTGCGTCCTAAACCTTGATGGTGGATTGAGTGCCACATAAGCCCATAACCATCTATCTCATAAAGGCATTGAAAACGGCGGGCCCCTATGTCACATGTCCAAGGACATGACAGCAAATCAGTCATCGATGACAATAGCTCCATCGTCTATGACTATAGCGTTGTCGTTGCTACCATCTCCATTGGTTGCAAGCTTTACTCTCTTCGGCGAGCTCCCTTCTTCTACTTCCGAAAACAGTCTCTTGGTACCATTGGATACAGTCAAGTTTCCATTTGTCGTCGTTGCTGCCACAGTCCCATAGGTGCCATTCGATGGCTGTGAAGGCTTCTTTTTTCGAAGAATAGGGGAAGCTGGTGCATCGTTTTCTGTAACCGCCGATGCAGGTAGGTCGACTCCTTTGATTGGCTTGTCTCCCAAAGTTTCCCTTGTAACAAAAAGTCAGTTAGATGTACGGGTTTTTCTATGGTATAACTTACGATTCTTGTACACTGAGTACGAGGTTGACTCTAGGACCTTTGGGGTTCTCGTCGTCCTCGTCAATGACTGTTAAGAAGCTGTCGCTTTTGATACCTGTAATGTGTAGATTAGTATAGAAATAAAACATAATTCTCAGAGACGTACCTAGTTCACCGAGCTTCTTTGTCAAATTGTCGGTTTCCTCGACATCGTACAGGAGAGAATCGCCGTGGTTTACGACTATTTCCTCACCATATCCTAACTCAAGCCGTAAGAAATCCTCCACTAGATCGTTGAGAGTAGCCCGGGACATGTCAACGAGGAGTTGAACCTGTGCCACACTACAGACCGGACAATCTGGATTCGGAGCTCTGTATCTATCCGAAGACAGCAGTCGCTCGGGTGCGAATGGTGATAGAAAAACTTCCTTTGTGGCCGAGACCTCGCCCCGAAGGACTTTGAAGGACTCGAGAACGCACAGTCCAGCAACGATTGCATTTGTTGTTGCAATTGCAGGGATAATGTTTCCAGCCATTTGTTTGATGTCGAATCTGGACTTGGTTTCAATTCCAAATACTAGCGACCTCAGATTCGCGCTTGCCGTGACGAAGTCCAAAGTATCCTCATCGTCTTTGTCGAATGTGATGGTAGGTTCAGCCGAATTGCCATTTGATTTAGAAGATTTCATCTCTTCGAATCTTCGACTTAGACGTTCCAAGCTGTGAATGTCAACTACCGTCCCATAGAGAAATACAACTTGCTCACCTGTCCTTAAAGACTACGACGTTCTCATGAAGATTCCACACTCTTTGACCATCCTTCAACACTTTCTCCTTCGATATTTCCGTCTCAGCAGCTTGTTCAATGATGCTTGCATAACTCAAAGCCTCTGGAGGCCTCCGTGTCTTCCACATCTCTTCCATAGAGCGCAACCGAACAACATCATCGTGGTAAACTTTGTCGAAAAGTAGTTGTGGAAACGATGGAGTACCCATAGATTCCTTGATATTTTTCAGAGCTTGTGACTCTTGTCGCAATTTCTCAATTTCCTTGGCTGGTCATAATGTTAGCTAGGAGAGCTCACAACAGGAAATAGTGTTATATGCGCACCATTTTCCGAGTCTTCAGAGTGATCCATCTCCACAGACTCATCTTCACTAGTCCCAAATACCTCACTGCCACAATTATTAGTAATCGCTGTGTCAAAATTGAGCACAACTTCTCCTACCTTAACAAGTAGCTTTTCCCCCAAACGATACAGTGAATCGGTTGACTTGGCGTACTCCTGATTGTGCAGACAGGGAAGCTCTTCGGTGTCTCCTTTGGCGCGCAATCGTAACAGGCAGTCACGCCCTTCTTGATGACCTGAACCTGGCCGTTGAATCCTGTCGTACCACTTTCAATAAGAGGGACTTCTGCTGCCAAGCACATCTTATTCACATGCCGCCTGGCCTCCAAGTTATCTAAAGCGTTGAAAACCATTGTAAAACCCTTGAACCACCGCACATTGAACTGGGGATCTTTGATGTTGGCATGATGGGCCTCCAGCTTCACTCTCGGGTTGAATGCATGCGCTGCCTCCTTTGCCACTAAAGCCTTTGACTTCTTGATATGTTCGTGCCGAAAGAGGAACTGCCGATTTAGGTTGCTCAGATCGATTGTATCGAGGTCAACGATGTGGATTTCGCCGAAGCCAGTAAGGACGAGGTTCTTGAGAAGTTCGCAGCCAATACCTCCGGCGCCCACCATCAATATTCGTGCCTGGGAAAGTTCGTTAGCCATGATTCTCAGATTCACGAGGCGCATGCTCTTGGGTGTTGGTGTATCTCCGTAGAGGTCTTGGGAGATAGAAAAAGTAGCTGAATATCGGCAGAACTCTGACCGCCCAAGAGGGTAGCTCTCGCTGGCTCGGAAAGTGAATTGGGGTATAAGGCTTTTCAAAAGACTGGGTGGCATGAGAACCAGGGGCTTACCTCCTTCACCATGGTGTTAAGTGGTGATCCAAAGGACTGGCTGTTAAAGTGGTCGCGCCTCATGGTTGGGACCATTGAAAGGTTTCCGGCGACGCGCCTGGAGGAGTCGGGAGAAGAGGAGGGAAATTGAGGTGTGTTGGAGATGTTGACGGGCGTTGCGCCTGAAAGGAAGGTAGAAGAAGTATTAACAGGGTGGACAAGGCAAGGCTTTGAGTACGAGCACGCGCTTTAACCGAGCCGATAGAGAAAGGCACTCCTTATCAGACTGGCCTGGACCTGGCGCTGGCTACGTCTACGTATAAGTAATGTAGCACGGACCGCTTCACTTGTTTTATTCAGTTCGAGGAAGAGTTAGTTCAAATCACTTTGTAATAACTGCTGATATTGGGTTTGCCAGGAGGTTTCTTACGGCACCTTCGTTTGGAGCACTTCGTTGTCTTTGTTGTTATGAATAAAAATTTCTGAACTATTTCTTTCCCCCTAGTGCCCCCTAATTTTCCGCCATCAACCCTCTTCCCAAAGTCTGTATCAGGACTACGCCGAGGCATTGATCGCCTCACATTATGTCCGATGATGAAGCGGACCCAGATCTTCTTGATTTCCTCCGCAATCACTTCCAGAAAGCTTCCCTCGTACCTGAGATCCCCGAAACGCATGTCTTGGACGGGGCCGAGTACGTGTACGACAACTCCATCGATGTAGCTCTCGACTCGCAGTCATGTCGAAGCGCTGCTGCCATGATATATGAGCAGATGCAGAAGAAAGACTACTCGACCCAGACCTGGGCATCACATGATTTTCATCCCCAAGGGAAGGACGAAAGCACTGTAGACTTCATCTTCACCATGGATCTCTTGAACTTTTCATTCTGGTCCGAGAAGGACGACGAGGAGCGGTTTGCCGTTGACTACCAAGGCAAGAGATGGACTGGCTACAAAAGTTTGGTTGCTGCATTGCAGCGGGCGCTCGAAGATGGTACTGTTTTACCCCCCTGCTCTGCAATATTGCAAGCTAATCTTAGTCGTCTATAGATATCCCAATCACATCTCCAGACTTCTGGCAAGATGAAGACAGGTGCACTGAAGAAGTTTTAAAACATGTCTTCAGAAGTGCAACCGAAGAGGAGATCCCGCTGTTTGAAGAGCGAATGCGGTGTCTCCGCGAAGCAGGCCAGGTGCTATGCGAGGTGTGAACCAATGCATTTGTATTTTTCTACTATCTCATGGCTGATGAATATCTACAGAAATACCAATCAAGTTTTTCTGGATGCATAGAAGCTGCCGCATGTTCTGCAGCGGCTCTAGTCAATATACTAGCGGCAGATTTTCCCTGTTTCAACGACGTGGTGCAGTACGAGAACCGCAAAAGCGTCCAGATCCTCAAAAGAGCTCAAATCTGTGTTGCAGATCTCTGGGCAGCATTTGATGGTCAGGGTTTCGGGGAGTTTCACGACATCGACAAGATTACGATGTTTGCAGACTATCGAGTACCCCAAATTCTGAATTCCCTGGGATGCTTATGGTACAGCCCAGCTCTCGAGACCGCAATCCGAAAGAAACAGTTGATAGAGAGTGGCCACCCATGGGAAATCCAGCTTAGAGGTTCGTCGAGGGTACAATACTAGGTGAGCATTCACTGACACTTGGCTAGGTTGTAGTATCTGGTGCGTAGAACTGATCCGCAGAGATATTCTACGGAATCATCCAGATGCCAAGATCAATGCTATCCTGATAGATTTCTTTCTATATGATACAATGAAGGAACTGGAGGTGGCTGGGCAAGAACAGTTACCCCACCATAGAACTCGAAGTATATGGTATTGATTAAAATTATGCTGATCTTGTAATCGTTTCATCTCCATTACAGTAGCCTCCGTATGCCGTAAAATTCGTCCAATTCTCACGCACCTGCCCCCCTAATCTTTTTCTATAAAGTTTAACACTCATCATAGCTTTCCGATGGTCTGTCCTTAGGTTTATACCTTCAGAAATATCTGTGACACTTGAGAAAGGTGGTCCACTAGCCCCCTGGTGCCCCTTAGACTCGGTACTCCCCGACAGTAGATCAGGGCGCGGTTGGTAGACGCGCTGTTAGTGATATAGCCAGCTCTTGTATAATATCTTCAAGTCTGCTTGCTATTGTACCGTGTTATTTGACCATCTTGACTGCAAATAGCATTTAGAGTAGAGTGATCATTATTTTTAACATTGGTCTTGACGTCTGACAACGCCGCTTCTACTCTACTATGCTACCCAGTCCCAATGCCGACTCCAGAATCTCAAGCGCCGTCTTATGCTAGTATTGCCCATATATACATGTCTTTTTTAGTCGCATCATACACATTCCGTCCCGACCATCTATCTATCTAGTTTTATTTACAGCTGGGGCGAAGAATCCAAACACGGAATTCTCGTAATCTGGCGAATAGTGTAGAAATGAACTCTCCGATCAACACAGGTCTGCAAATGGAGATGGAAGCTGGTGTTGTGGTTGAAACGGGGACGGTATAGCAGGCCTTATCTTGCGAATACTCGGCTTGGGATTATGAGTCTCTACTTTCCAAAGACTTGTCATTCTCTCTTCGCGCGATATAAGGCGCAGAAGATATTTCAGAGGGTCATTGAACGACAGACCCGCTGAGTGGACGTTCCTGACTGTTGTGATAAACTTATCCCAGCTTTTAGTCGACAGTCGATCCAAGAAAAGCGGTACCACCTCGAATCCCGCAATGGCTAGTGGGCGCACTCGTATTGCCAGCTCAGCTTCAATGGCCCGTATTTGGCTACTTCGGGACTGCCTGGCGCGATAATCTTGAAACTCTCGAGAGATGCTAGCGGTGGAAATTTCCATGTCATCGATTTCTCTTTGCAGGAATTGGAGTCGGCTGGATCGAAATTTTGCGTTATGGGAGATTGTTTTGGCTTTCCGACTCAGCTCTAATGATCCAAACTTTTCTAAACGATCCAATCCCTCCCAGATAGCTTGGTTGCCAACTTTCCCGTAAGAGCTGGATGGTGTTGGCTGGGCGTCGGGCTTGCGGAGTTCATGAGGCTGGGGTTGGATTCTCTTAAGGGTCGTTCTAAGAGACGAGACGAAAACTTCGTATCGATTGATGGAATCTTCGAGAGACTTGATCCGTAGCCAGCGTATGAAGTCTCGCAACGTGTGGAGAGATATAAAGGGCGGCAAAATCGGGTTTGAATCTGGTGCCGAGTCGATATTACAAAGATAGAGGAGTTTGTGGAACGCATATCGAAAATCCGGACCGAGGTCTTCAAGTAAGGTGTGGGCATGTTCCCAAGTAGACAGAATCACTCTCAGAAGATTGCGCGCTGCTTTGTAATCGAATCGAGAAAGGCAAGCCTCCACAGCGTTGTAGAAAGCACGCGAAGGCACCATCTGACCCTCGCGTAGAGACGCCTTGATACAACGAATAGTTGGCCTGACTCCTTTCCTCTCAAACGACCCCCTGATGAGAGCCTCGAAGATAGCAGGACTTCGATCCACCTTTTGAGCTAGCCAGAAGTCATTGAGTCGTCTGGTTCTGTTCGTCATAGCCCATTGAAGGACATCAGGAGAGGACAACTGATATACTGTCCTCGTTCTGATGTTCATGTTATCCTTGGCCACAGACATGCGGTCAATTGTTTTCTGAAACCCAATAGGGTCATGCCCTGCGATGAAGTGGTCCAGAATGAGCTTAATGGTTCTGTCATTCGGTTTCAGTTTGCTCTGGTAGAATGAATCGACAACATCTTGGGCAAGATCATATTGCTGCAACCGAGTGAATTCCCTTATCAAAATATTATATGTTCCAATGCTCGGTGGGGTGGTTGAGACGAGTAGATTGTAACATATCTTTGCTACAAGTAACTCTATATTCGACCGATCCGGAGTTGTGCTTGTACAAGCTGTGACTATTGACTTGTGCAATGCAGTGCGCTGCTCGGAAGAAATCCCATCCTTTGAATAGGCCGGCATCTCAATAAAAGTAGTCTTTAGTTTCTTTATTCGTTGAGCCATCTCCATCTTTTGAATATCGATATCGGTACTGGCTGAAGTTGTGCCGGCTCCAGCAATGGAAAACACATCCATCCTCGATAGGAACTGATCAACCAGATTCCTGACCATTTGCGCAAACATGTCCGTATGTTCGCTTGTGAGGGGCTCGCGTGGTGCGAAGTATACGGAAGGAAGTGCTTGAATATCGTCTTCATCGTACCATTCCTCGCTTTGCCCAGATGAAGAAGGTGGGGTCTCTTCTGCCATAACAAGATTCTCAGGAGTATCAGCCAGCCCTCGGAGCTCATTGTCTAACCTCTCCAAACTTGCTTTTGCGGATTCATATCGATGGGTTGGGGCCTCCCAGCTCGTACTGTTCCAAGATCCTAGATTATCGCTTGCACGATAATATTCTAGTCTCAAGTTCAGTTTGACGGCTTTCTGCTGTCCACTTGTCCCTTTGGGGATGGCTGTTTCGTCGATGGAGTTCCCAGCTTTGGCCTCAGCAATGACTCGATCCCATTCTTTCCTCCTTTCCTCCTTGACCCTTGCATCTGCAAAAACAGCGGTGGCGAGTATTGTAGAGTAACATGCCGTGAAGAGATCTCCAACTTTCACACTTCGTTTGCTTGTTGCTGTTGTGGTTCGACGAGCTAAAGCGCCCGTGGCATTGAGACAGGAGCTACATCCACAGGAGGATCTGGTCTGCGCAGCGCGAAACCAAAGAGCTTGCATGGCCGTATCATGCTGAGACCATTATATCGCGGGCAATTGATGTTGTCGCGTTGCTAAGTTGGCCAATATTTTGGAATTGGTTCTCGAGGTGGTTCGATCATCGGAGGTGAGTGAAGATTGACCGGTGGTGCTGCCGCTTTACTGTATCAATATTTCCAGACAAAATCAATTTACCCCACCACTATCAGTTACAACCTTGCATTACCTTAGCAACGGACCACCATATTTAAGTCCAAATCGCAAAAATGTTGACCCTAACTCTCACTGCAGACTTGACGGGGTAAGTAATGCTTATGTCATAATGTATCGATTATTGACAAGCTTCGAACAGCGTGACTGAGTTGAGGCCGGACGACACACCCGAGGAGCCATTCTGGTACACATTCAAAGTCCAGTGCACCTCCTGCAGAGAGGTACATCCAAACTTTGTGAACGTTAGTCGCTTCGTAAGTTGTGAAGCAGAGTTCTCCCAAGAAGCCAGGACTGATTTCTGAGGCAGGAAGCGAACGACATGAGTGGCAGTCGAGGGGAGGCAAACTTTGTCTGGAAATGCAAGTCTTGCAAGGTAAATGAAGCCTCTACGAAGATTATGTATCAAAATTAAAGCGTCCTCCATTAGAGAGAATCATCTGCAACAATCAAGGCACCCCCTATCCCATATCAGCAGGCATCCCCACCAACGCGCCAGAAGATTATTGAGTTTGATTGTCGAGGGTTGGAGTTCACGGAATTTAAGCCAGAGGTATGAAACAAGTTTTGTCAAAATTTCACTATCTAAATCCTGACGATGATCTTAGGGTGATTGGCTGGCCACTGGTCTTGAGTCCGGCAGTAAATTTGCAGCTATTGATCTCACCGAGGGAGAATGGTTTGACTATGATGAGAAAGCAGGAGATGAAGTTAGTATTAAGGACTTGAAGTGGGAAATAAGAAGGAATTGAAGATACTACTAGCTCTCGGTGAGCAGGGGACAGACTGCTATAGCTATTCTAGATGCTTCATTGCTGAGCTATTTTGATGGCTTGAATGATGTCTAAAGAAGCTCGGAATTTTAGTAACAAGTTGTACCGCACTGATTGGAATACAAGGTGCCATCATGTCTTATTACTATATTCCTGGTGTGCATTTGAATGCAGAAGTAATTGTTAAACACATGTCTCTACTTACTACTTCTAATTCACAGCTTCACAGCCTCGTCAAAGCCCGGTCCAGCCTTACATTGCGATCTAAAAGCAGCACCGACCTTTAATCCGCACCGCACCAGGAACAAAATGAAGCTAGTCGCAACCTCAAGTTTAACGAGCAAGGCAAGGCGCAAAACATCCCCCACGCGCCCTCTACATACATCACCAACCCAACCTCCAAGATGAGTAACGTAAACCTGCCTATCTCGAGAATACCGGCTACAGAAAAGTTAGCTGACTTGTGTTTCTAGTTCATGCCCATCAACCCGCGGCCGATGCTGCAAAACCTGTATGTCTTTCCCTCCCACACCCACAGTCTGCGATTCCATGAGGGCGATGGATGTGCTGACGGAGGAATAAATTAGTGTCAACGAGGAAGTCGTCATCCGTCTCAAATGGGGTCAAACCGAGTACAAGGGCCGCCTGGTTAGCATCGACAGCTACATGAATATCCAGTTGTCGGGTGCGGAGGAGTGGATTGATCAAGAAATGACGAGTTCTTTGGGCCAGGTTCTGATAAGGTATGTCGAAATCTTTTACATGGAGGGGTATTATATGCGGAATTCTAAGCAGAGTCTTGGGAGAGGGTTTGTGCAATGATTGAGGGCCTGGTCTGATTATATCTATAGATGCAATAACGTCTTATGGATTCAAGGAGCGAACCAGAATAACGGAAATGGGGACGTAAAGATGGAGGGTTGATTGTAACATGGAAGAGAAAGTGCTGAATTCGGGATATGTTGTCTGAGGTCTTTATCAGGCTTAGCAAGGAAGGGAACCCTTGGGTATGGACATTGTCAATGTTCAGGGAAAAGTTTCGTCCAACAATGGGCAAGGCGTTTAGAAGCAAGAGGCTTTGTTTAGGAATCATGACAGACTGGATTTTGATACCATATACTTGGCATCCTGACCATTACTTTTGACAATGCACACTGAAGTGAGACTTCAAGCGGCTCCTAAAGTACTAGCTCTTTTCTTCAAACAAGAGCATATCACATAAGGCAACCAACTTTTCGGCTGCTTCCAACTTCACTCATTCCGAGCCTCATTCTCTTTTCGGGTCCAACCATAGCGAAAGCTTCCACCATCCACTCATACCAAACTTTTCGATCATCCGTTTGCCTCCAAATACTGACCTCCAGCTCCGCATCATCAGGGTAATAAAGGGGATTCTAACGAAATTGTTAGCTTGTTTTCTCAGAGAAAAACTTTTCAGCCACAACATACCTTCAGAGGAAAGAAAATAGGAAACCATGATATCATATCCTTGCTTTTATCATCAATCGTGTCGGGTCTCGTGCTCAATTCGACCTTCCCTTCCGCACCTCCGTCGTAAAGAATCGCCTCAAAATATCCTGCCAATCCGTTTACAACACCTCTATCCCTACATACAAACTTCATCCTGGAATACCTCGTGTTGTGCTCATTGGCACCATCACCGCCAGCCATGCTACCTCCTCCACCTCCGCTCACACCCCCTCCTCTTCTAGCTTCGGCTATAGCGAGCGTGGACGCTGGGAGAGGGTGAACAAACTCCCATGCCTGTTGAATGCGTGGGTGGTCCGGAACCGTGGTTGCAAGATAATCAATAGCGTGTAACATTACGACATACGGCGTTTCTGTGGCCGTTGTATCCGTTACTGCTCGATGTGAAATATCGGCATGCAGACGGGGAGCGAGGATTGGGGTGAGATGAGCAGTGTAAGAGCTTGGGATCGAGATGCCGTATTGTGGAGCTAATACGTGCTGCACACCATCCAAACATTCTGGGGAAAGTTCGTTATCGGCGAATGATCCCAGAAGCTCAGAAACCAGAATGTCAACCTTGCCGTACGGTGATGCTGGAGAAGTGGTAGTAGAGGTCGCTTGTCCTACGGCAGTCGTTGGGTTGATTAGCGGTCCCTTCCAGGCCCGCATGTCGCTCTTGACCACGTTGACCACGCCACCCCAATCCATGTCATTGTGTCTCTGCAGAAGAACGTATGCGTTAGGATTCTTCTCGACAGCCCATACTTCAACAGGAACTCCTGTCATTTTACTTGCTCTCAAAGCACGCGTGACAAGTGGGCCTCTACCAGAGCCAGCGACAGCGATTACCACCGCACCATTTGAACTCGAGGTTGGCTTGCTTTGTTTAGTCCAGTCAGACAATGCTTGTGCAATGGCACGCTCATACCAATCGTATTTGACAGGGTCTTTCTCGAAAACTTCATATGTGACAGATTCCAGATTATCTGTCAATGGCTGGAGGGGTGCTTGGAGATAATCTTGGTAACCAGAGCCAAATTTCTCAATGGCTGTCCGAGGTGGTTGGTTCCTCTGGAGATACCTCATATAGATTAAATGTGCTGCAGGATCCTTCGGTTTGGGCTTCGATTTTGGGGTTTCTCTGGAGGCCGCGGTTGCTTCCGATGGAGTAGGAGAAAGAGTAGGAGAGACTGATCTGGATGCATCTAAAACTGCACTGGGAGATGGAAACCCATCAGCAGTAGCTGAGAGCTGGATCGGATCGTCAAGGCCGGGGACAGGGCCAACGTCGGAGAGTAAGAGCCAAGGCGGCTGTTTGAGACGCATATACCTTGATAACAGGGTTTGGTGGCTCTTACTAAAGACTGGGTGCCCGCCTTTATTTTTCAGGAAAGACGAAGGCGTGAATGACAATAACCGAAGAGGTTCAGCGAACCAGCGAGACTGCAATGACTCGACTGGGAGCTGACGGGGAATCCCGAGTGCTACACATGGATATTAGCCGTCATTTTCTGCCCAACTCCGTCTAATCGAGCGGGAAAATTACCTTCAGAGGTTTAGAAGTGCTCCGAAGGGTCTCGGCTCTCGAAATTGCTCGATAACTCTTCACTAGGCTGCAAAAAAGGGAAATGGACGATTGTATTGGTTTCTTACCTACTGATAGTCTTGAATTGTATTTACATACGCTCCGAATGAAATTCCATGCGTCCCAGGTCTCAAACAAATCGATATCTTTGCTCTCTTTTGGTTTTCCGGGCGACTCATAATCTCTGGCAAATGGCTGGAGATCTCCTGTCATATCTTTTACCTCTTCGTGTCCGTACATTGGAACATGAATCGCCATCTGAATATAGCTGCCAATAGTGAGCGCTTCTTGAATTGCACGAGCATACTGGATGATGCCATTATTGTCTGTGGACCCGCTGCTGTAATTCCTAGGCCCCGGAATGATAATGTTGCCCACCCCGCAAAATGAAGCATATGCGATCTCAATATTCAGAACCTGCCGTGAAATGTTAGAGATCAAGGGGTCCGAAGAGCACAAGTCAATCCATGGGCTACAGTATCCGATGAGCTGTGAAAGCGTGTCGCTAGGAGTCATAGGGGTATCAAATGGGGTGAGAGGTGGGATTATCGGTGCGGGTGGGATACTGCTGGTGGTATTCAGATCGTCCGAGATCTCCAGCCGTGACAGCTCGACGAGGTAGGAAGAGACCAGAGTCAACACCCTTGAGTGGAAATGCGGGCTCGTAATAGGGCTTGTGAGCATGTCATACTAGAAGAGTCAGCGGCTGTCTGCATTTCAAACGGGGGAACTTACACCAGTATCCTGAGCCTGTTGCAGGACAAATTCCGTGACAGGCAACGGCCGCTTGGATTCATGGTGACCAATGTAAAAGGTAGGCAAGGATTCCTCCAGTGGCGACGGAGGCTCAACCTCTGCGAGGAAAGGTTGGGGCGCAGTCATAATGGGAGAAGCAGGAGAATATTCTCCAAAGAATGGGTTGCTCTTGAGGTAAAATGTATGTGGAAAGGAGTGGAAGGCGTCCTAGGACTTCGTATATATTAGGATTTGCAAAATGTTGGAAAAGTATTGCCTATCATGTCGTGGCTCGCGTGCGACATAAAGTCGATAGGCAGGTGTTTCCAGGCAGGGCAGATTTACTTGTGTCGGTAGGTACGGAGGTACTTTTTTTTAGGCGTGGGGTGGGGTCTTTTACATTTTCAGCTAGCGTGCGCCTGTAAGTATTCGTATCCTTAAAAATCCTTGTCCTTTTCTTCGTCCTTGAGAGAAAATGCAACATCAATTTTTGCTGTTCTAAACCAAGCGGCACATTAATAAGCAAATTAACAAAACTGCCATATAAGATACGTATAACACATCAAATGGACAACTACCACGCCACTAAGAATTTTTACAAACGTTCATGTGCTAGACGCCTAAACCATAATGATATATTCATGGTTTTTCATATTGGGCCACTTTGAAGTACATAGCTCGTTCAATCTGGACCATTATACTATCTTATATTTCAATTACTACGGTACTTTCTTGCTATGAAATCGCTGTTGTTACTCGTTTACATTCTGTACATCGTTTCCCTCATTATCTTTGACCTAACCAGAGTCCATTCTCAAACTGGAGACCTATCCTTCTGTCGGTTTGCATAGCTCTCATCACTATAGTCATCTCTTCTTTGTATGTTACTTGCAATCCCCGTTTCCAATGTACCTGTTTTCGTCAAGTGGCGCGACAGTCCCTCTTCCCCTTCTTCGTGCACATTATGGCCCTTTGCAATGATAGCAAAGCTATCTCTCAAAATGACCTCGTACACAAACAGGGCAAAAAAAGTCGCGGGGACATTTGTGAACACGGCGATCGGTGCGTATCTATCGAAAGCATCTCCGCCGAAGAAAATCGCTGCCACGATTCGAGTTCCAAGATCTCTGGCCAAGTTGGTTGCAATGGTGGCCGCACCGAAACCCCAAACCATGTTCCCATATGCAAGGCCGATGACAAACGGCGCGGAGGCGGGAGCGACAAATGGATTGGCAGGATCCAGGACGGCCCAGATGACAAGGCTGTATCTCCGTCAGTTGTTGTCTGAATATTATCATTGCGCGACTTTCTTACCCGATGAAGCTGTCCACGAAGAACTCAATAAGGAACAAGTATCCATAGTTTGTCTCGGTCGGTGCGGGAAAACTACACAAAATGCTCCCAGGGCCGCCTAAAGAGTTGGGACTCAAGCCTTTAGCTTGAACTTCAGCGGAAAGTGCCATCAACTGCGGGTGATACTGTCCGACAAGTATCATACCAGCCATAAAGGCCCCGAAGATCTGGGCAAATATATATCTGGGAACTTTGGACCAGGGAAACCTGCGATATCTCAGTAAGTGTTGTTTTGTATTTGATATTTGAATAGATGCATACCCTTGCCAAACCGCAAGGCAGAGCGTTACTGCTGGATTAAAGTGCCCACCAGATGTCGGACCACAAACAATGATGGCAAAGGCGATGCCGATGGCATAGGCCCATCCAATTTGGAATATAGATCCGAAGGCCGGCTGTGTGCCGTTCAAGAAGAAAGCTGCCTGTGAGGCAATACCGGGATACCTGAAGAGTCTGTCAGATGATTTCAAGATTTATGCAAGGCGTATCAGGCTACGAACACGTAAAAGAACACGCCGAGAGCTTCAGCGGCCATTTCCCTCATCCATCTCGGCCTCACATGCTCAAAGTCGAGTTTCCGCTGAGTGACCGGTTTGGGTGGAACAACATTCCTCTGTATGTCAAGATCTCCCAATCAGCATTGCCCCGTGTGATAGAGTTTGGGAGTTAGGTCAATGCTCCATGGGCGTTGGAACTTTTAGTTGAGAGCAATCGACTCTCAAAACAGGTCGAGAAAGTAATCTCTCCCGAGATGTCTGAAGTAAGATATATTTCTGCGAGAATGTAACTTACGCGGACATGTCTTTGCACCGCATCAGTCACTCCAAGTTCCATATCATTCGTGTGCAATCTTCGAGCATCGTAGCCCGTAGTATGAGCCGAATCTTCAACATGTTCCGCCATGGTAGAAGAACTGTGTCCACTGTGTAGTAGGGTTTGTTGAGATCAAATGGTCTTTTGGTGTTTTTGCTAGGAGCGCACTGGAGACAAGCTCATGGGGATAACACGGTTCTTATGAAGTGCAGGAGTGCGGGGTCCCTGGCGACCACAAGCATGGAACAAAGCTACTTAAAGGGCCAAGTGGAGTGAAAGTTAATAGTCTGGCTGTGCCGTTTCTTTGTTGAGGATGAAGACATAGCGCCCAAGATACTTTACGCCAGCCGTAGGAAATGCTCCTTTACCATCCATTCACGTTTCTGGAGCAGAGCAAAACGGGTTTAGATAGTACAGTACAGTACGAGTACGAGCGCGCTTGCACTCTTCGTCTATGAGCACCTAATGCAGATATCACACCACATTATCTATGCATCTACATACAGATAACGAGAAGCATGCAACAACACCAGAAGAATTGGGAGAATGGTCCATGTAGATAGAAAGAACCTTTACACGGTCCAAAGGCTTGACAAGCAGTGGCTGGCCGATAAACTTACCTATAGAGTGACGCCACCTTTGCTCCTCTGATGTCCGAATTCCCCGGGAAGCTTCATAAATTGTCTACGTCAGCACAGACGAGCGGCAATATTTGTATTGGCCGTTGCCCACAACAATATCTATGCCACACAATTCTCGACCAATTGAGATGAGAGATCGAAGAAGCCGAGGCCTGGAAATAGCGTTTGTACAGTAGTGAAATCTTGATATGGCATCTGATCTAAGGTAGTAGAGACATCCTAGCGTCATCATTTCCTTTGACGGCGACCTCAATGGAACTCGTCGTATCAGATGATGAGAGGACCACAGATGATGAGAGGACCATTATCTAGTTGCTTACCAATATATCTCCCTACAGTCTCGTTTTCCTACATAAGCAGTCATGCTGGCCTAGACCATCAACACCTTTCTTTCGAAAAGTGAACGTGCACGTTGCAAAAAGTGGCTTGTGGGGAAATGCGGGGGAGTTGTCCCGCCTTGGTATGGCGTCAATGGCCGCGATGCATATATCGGCAGATCCCCAAACGAACTACTCGTACTTGGAACAGAACCTCCACCTCCACGTTTCTGGATACTAGAAGCGGCACTCGTGATCGTCCACTTTGAAGTACAGGATTCCCGGAAGCTCGGATTGATACATTAAGAGCTAGTGCCGCATTCCTTGGTCTTCAGAAAAAGGAGGGACCGGGCCGGATCCATGCATCCGCGTGCGTTCGATCCATGGGTGTGGGTATCTATCTACTGTATCATTGCTGCTATTTTCAGATATGGCTGTTTTGTTTATGACGATGACTAAAAATTGCCCAGGCAAAATAGAAAGCTGCGAGTACTATAGCCAACGCCGCCTCTCAATTTTTAGTGAACTCTTGCGTCCTTGAAACTTGATATTGAATGATATATATTTACTTCGGTGGATTTTTTCACTTTGGTTAAGAAGGGTAAATCCTAGAAGAGAGGAATGGTTTCATCTGTGGGGATTTAGTACTTCCCCTGAACTTTGGAAGGTATTTTTTGAGCACGAACAAGGTATCCTATTACATGCGCTTCAATCTACGTCAACATCTTTACCATATGGAACGACGCCCTAGACAACTTCATATTATTGCAAAGGGTATCAAATGAAGATTGGAATAATATGTAGAGGTGTTAATTGATATTAAGAAGTGGGGGGAAAGATATACTCCTACTTTTTCAAAGAGAGACTAGGAACAACAGAGTCGGATTATTATCAGCCTGTAAAACTGCGATGCGAGTAAAAGTATATTTATATCGTTGACTTAGATTAGATCTATAAAAAGCGGTCTTCTAATCTAGTCTTTAAAGAAATCTGTATTAGCTAGTGGCATTATCATGCAATATTACAATTTCATGATTTCGTGAACACATTACTCCCCCATCAAACTGTTATCTTTCCTTTTATTTTACCTTCCATCCCAACTTACTCATCATGAGCGGCGGAGGGGGAAGGTGCGGCAGTCTCCTTTGCTCTCGCCCTTGCGCTGATGCTCTGTTCAAGATCCACTCCTGTGCCGGCAACCTCACCCCTGACCAATTTCTCGGTAGTGACTAATTGATCTGGTGGAGGAGCTACCCAATCAGCGCTCTTGCGTGGGTCGATGTGGAGAAGGTACATCGTGTCAATCTCCTCCAAAGTTCGACCCTTTCCTTCGATTACGAACAGGTAGACCACAGCAGCAGCAAGGAACAAGCACCCGGCGAAGATATAACCATAGCGGAAGTCGATATCGCCTACGATGAAAGGCGTGAAGAAGGCCAAGAGGAAATTCCAAAGCCAGTTGGAAGCTGTAGACATTGCCATAGCTGTGGATCTGTAGCGGGATGGATACACTGCCAATTATTAGAATAGCTATTTTCAATGAGGGATGGGAGAGGCATACATTCGGCGCAGATAGTCCAGACAATTGGTCCCCACGTCATGGCGAACCCAGTGATGAACAGACAGGCGAAAACAATCATTGCCTTGCCTGCATGTGGCGTGTTCTCAGGTACCACTCTATCGAGTGAGAAGTGTCCAACAGATGCGAAAACCATGAAGCATACAAACATCCATGCAGCACCAAAGACGAGGGACTTTCGGCGGCCGAAATGTTCCACAACGTACAGACCCGCGAAAGTGGTTCCAAAATTGACACCTCCCAGGATCATTTGCGTAACGTAAGAATTGTCAATTCCTGTGCTCTTGAATATGACTGTCCCGTAATAAAAGAAGTAATTGGCACCAGTAAGTTGTTGCAAAGCTTGGAGCGTAATACCAAGAGCGATTCGATAAGCCATTCTCGGTGCAACAAAGATTTCAAACCACTTTTGGTCCTGGTGGAGCATATCCTCGTCATGTTTTGCTTTGATTTCAGCAAGCTCTTCTGCTATGACCCTGTGATCCGGGGATACCCCATAAAGCTTGACCATGGTGGCCTTCGCCTGCTCGATCTTGCCGTGTCGGTAGTCATAACGAGGGCTCTCAGGGAAGAACATGATTCCAAAACCAAGGATCAGGACCCAGAGGAAAGATATTCCGAGAGGGATACGCCAAGATCCCGTGTTTGTACGCTTTTCCGTACCGAAGTTAATCTAAACAGAGTCAGCTTCGTGGTGCCACTAACATTTTGGAAAAGGGGTTACAAACGCAGTTTGCGACGAATATGCCGAGAGTGATGAAGAGTTGGTAAGTACTGTAAGGGAGTTAGACTAGTCAAAGCTTATGGACAATAGTAGTAGCTCTTACCTGATTAGGGCACCCCTGATCTGGCGAGGGGCACTCTCACTCTGATACATAGGTACCAAAAGTGAAAGGGCACCGACACCAAGACCTGCAATCCACCTTCCGACGACGATCTGGTACCACTTTGGCGCCGGCGCGGAGATCTGGACGATCAATCCAATGTGAAGCATAATACACCAAGCAGAAATAGACCACTTCCGTCCAATTCTGTCTGCAACAGGGCCAGCAATCAAAGCTCCCATCAAGGTGCCAATGGATAACTGGTAGATTGTAAGCAATTGCTATACTGCGGATTTGGTACACTTACCAGGCCAACAATGAGCCCAGAGCGAACATTGCTGAAGTGGTATCCGACACCATCCGAATCTCTTTGACCAAATTCTTCTTGAAATACTTTCATCCCTAAAAAGCCACTGATTTGTCCGGTATCGTAACCAAAAACGAAACCTTCAAATTCATTTAGCCAGGGCGCATGAATAGCTTGCAGTAAACTTGCCTCCCATAGACACGAGTATACCCATTATGAAAGAATGGAATGTCAGCCTTGGAACTGGAGCGTCGGAGGTATAGCCGGCATGATGTTGCTTCTCCGCGTGAGAGGGCTCTTCGTCAGATGAACCAACAGGTTTTCGAGCCCTAAAGGGGAGGTGCGAAACAAAGTTCGAGATAGCCATTGTAATTTGTAATGTTATAATAGTAGTGGATATTCAAACTGTACTGCTGATGAAAGTGAAGCAAGGTACATGGCCTTTATATAATTTTCCAGTGAGGCTATATCCCTTTCTAGCTGATACTAAGGCACAAGACCTCTGACTCGTGGTCATCCGAGATAAATAAAACATACGATTAAAAATCCACTTTGTTGACTTAATTCTGTATTTTCCTCTCAAATCAACCATTGACCGACACGTTCCGAGCATCAGCTGAGGAACATGTTACCCCAAAACCCCAGTTACTAATCCCCGCTTTCACTTGAGTGGGCCTGCAACTATGGTAATCGGGTCTAGCAGGCTCTTGGTCTGCAATGTGCTTATTAGAAGGGCCGAAAAGGAGAGGCAAATTAATTGAATGTAGCTTCTAGAAAGATTTCCAACTAATAGCCTCATACGCGTTGAGCTTGATAAGCCTCACGGAGGCCCGAACCTGGGCAAAAACCATCTCATCACGAGCAGAATTCGTCACTTGACTATTCAGAACCCAGCATACCAAGCCAAGCCAAGATTTTTCACAAAATGGTTCGGTACACGGATACTCTCGTATACCGTTCAGAAAACATGCCATGTAGTACTTTGTACACGTGAAATGTCAGGTACCTAGGTACTAGTTTGGTACCGTGGTATCCGGAAACCCCGGATGCTGTTGACTCGGGCCGAATTTACGGAGACATGCGGGGGCTAGAGTACGTCGGGGTTGAGGAGCTGCTGATTCCCCGGCGCGAAGTGCAAAACTTCCCCGCGGTAACTGCCAACTGCCAAAGTCAATTGGAACAAATCCTTGCAGGTCCTCAATTTCGGAGCTGATTCGGGGGCATTCTTAAATCGTAGGGGTTTAAAGTTTATTGCCCCGGACCCCGGAGTCAATAAGGTTCTTATGGTACAGTTGAATGAGTCAAGATGAGGTTGATATACTTCGAGGTAGATTTAAAGTGTGGTTGTGGTTAGGTTAGCTGGGCTGGTGCTGCGCTGGTCTGTGCGCTAGGTAGCAGTAGCGCTCTCTTTTACCTCGGTAGCTTTCCTCACGTGACTGAATCTCGCTTCCTCCAAACTAAGTTTAGCGCAGATCCTCATCGCCCACAAAGAAATCGCACGTCGTCAAAATCTTTTTCAAGCAACGACAATCGACAAATTTCTTTGCCTTCATCCGCCAACTCGCCAAGATGACGAAGATCAACAGCTGTATGTTTATCTTCCTAACCTTTTGCTTTTACACCATTCTCTAGGTCGAAAGCAGACTACAACCTGATGTGCAAAACTGACTGCAAATCCAGCCCTCCACTCCTCGAGGAGAAAGTCGCGCAAGGCGCATTACGATGCCCCCTCCAGCGTTAGACGCACCATCATGAGCGCCCCTCTCAGCAAGGAATTGCGCGAGAAGTACAACGTGAGTGTCTCTTCAACCGATACTCCCTCCGACTTCCCCTAATAATTCCTAGGTTCGCTCCATCCCAATCAGAAAGGATGATGAAGTCCTCGTTGTCCGAGGCTCCAACAAAGGCCGCGAGGGCAAGATCACCTCAGTCTACCGTCTCAAGTACATCGTACACATCGAGCGTGTCGTCAAGGAGAAGTCGTCTGGTCAATCTGTTCCCATCGGTGTCCACTCCTCGAAGGTCGTCATCACGAAGTTGAAGCTCGACAAGGACCGTGAGAACATACTGGAGCGTATCAAGGCTGGTCGCGAGATCAAGGAGAAGCTGAAGGCGTCGAAGGCATAAATAAATGTGGTCGGGTCTGGAGTGATTTGGCATGCTTGTTATTTACATTGGGGCGCTGTCACGGCTAGCTGGAGGTGCTAGACATAGGAATGACAAAACATTATGGCCATTTCACATCCTTCGTGCTTGCACGTCTGGTCTACTGTGAAATGCTCCATGGGAGTTTCTCCCGAAGCAAAGTCGTTTCTACACGACGTGATCTGTTTTGCTACACACATTTGCTTTGGGAGAACTGCCCCCTACTAACTAACAGTGCTGGATCGATCACAGCTTGCATTGCCGTTCGCGACTTCCTTTACTTGTCCAATGCGCTATCTTATCTCCCCGCCAGTCTCCATTACCGGATCTCACATTGGCGGGCTAAAACTAATAGCGCAGACGAAAGTCTACTTCTTCGGAAGCAGATCTTCTCGCCTGCAGACTGTTCTCTAAGATCTCGGTCTATGAAGAGAAGAGTTTGAAGGTGAGAAACATACATCTCATTTGCCTTTTTTTCTCAAATCACCAAGTCACTTTAAAATTTACGCCTCTCCAGTTCAAGCGAACTAGTGGGTTGTCTCTCTTCTATAGGAGGTATTGCCGAAAATTGTACCAGCACTTAGACTAGCTTTGGGGACATCACGGAGAATGAACAATCAAGCTTTACTGCAATCACTGAGTAATGAAATTATATTTCCATCCAAACAGTCTAGAATTTCTCGACGTATGGTCGAACGTCTGAACACCGAGTCAGAGATTGTTATGGGGGTAGTGCTTTTAGAATACATACCCAATTCCTGAGTGAAATGAGATCTGGGTTGGGTATGAAGATACCAATATGCATCCGCAATCTAAGCCATGAAAGGTCAGCATCAGCATCTTCTATCAAACAATCCAATATTTGCAACACTATCGTCCTTGCTACGAATGCGGTATCACTTACAGCACTACTATCAATCTTACCATCTTCAACACCCCCATTAACAGGCCAGTCATGGGTTCTCGGAATGTCGATAACGCCATCGATAATGGCATGGGCCACATGCACACCCTTGGGACCAAACTCTCTTGCGAGACTCTGACCAGTAGCTCTTAGCGCGAACTTCCCGCTGGCAAAGGACGACATCGTTGCTGATCCGCGGACCGATGCAGTAGCGCCAGTAATGATCAGAGACGGGGGATGGAGAGAGGTGGACACAGAGTCGAGCAAGAGTGGCAGCACAGCTTGTGCAAAGAGGAAAAACCCCTTTCTGGATAGCAAGCAAAGTAGATTAGTATGGAATTGGGAGTTTGTATCAGACTGGTAGATGGTAATTGCAGGAGTAGGAGTAAACATACCCATTAGCCTCATAACCAGCCTCATATTCCTCCAAAGTCAATTCCAGAAACGGCTTCTTAATGAATCTACCACCAACATTATAGACAGCCGCAGCCAGTTGCTTCCCCTTGAACTCTTTCTGGATCTCTGCAAAGGCGCTTGAAACAGACTGAGGCGAGGAAACATCTGTGGAGATGCCAATAGCGTGACCACCAGAAGACTTGATCTCCGAGACGATGGACTCGTAGTTTTGGGGATTTCTGGCTAAGAGGATCACGGGATATGCTTTTGCGAATTTAAGAGCCACAGAACGACCTGTTTTACAAAACTTCTTAGCAGAGGTATACAGTAGCAGGTATTACTAGACTAGAGAGTAGGTAGATACCCGTGCCTGCGCCTACACCAGCGACGATGCTGAAGAAGTTACTTGCTGCCGCCATATTTGCTGACCGGAGATGTTGTCTATGAAGTTGAAGACGTTTGGAAGCCGTTGGCATGAGTTATTGTAACGAAGAAGGAAAGAACAGAGATGTATTTCAATAGAGGGGTCAATTGATTGATAAGCCCATTATCTATTTACCAGAGGTTGCTATTACATTCAAGGGTCCTGGAATGACGTGCGCGACTTGGGCGGGGCACCGCACCAGAAATCCACAGCAGTTGGTAATCTAATGTTGAGATTAGTGAACGGGTCCGTAGAAACTTTATATTGACTCCCACTTGATAAACTTTCCACTCTTCATGTATTTACCTGCTGCTGTAGAAATACTACACTCGGAGTATACAAAAAATACGGTGTTCTATAGTAAAGTAATGTAGAGCATCTCCGACTCCCCGATGAAAACCTCACCATCTTGGCTAAGACAAGTAAGTACTTATATATATCACAACACGCAATCCATATCATCAATCAATAGATCATCCAAACATTGCATACATATATATATACAAGTACAAGTCAAACCACCTGCACACGAGAAAGATTGCAGAACCGTCACTCAGCCAGCCACACCCAGCCCCATATATCCCCATTCCGCGGAGCCCCCTTCCGCCCAAATACGGTCCTCCCCAACATAGATTTTACCTATTCCGAGCATGCGAAACGCAACAAAAATACGAGTATTTCTTTTGGGAATTATGGCCTGATCAGTTGATGTCATTGTCTACTCGTGCCATGGAGTCGGTACGGAGGTGAGGGACTGTATAGAAGTGGAGTCGGTACTCTATCAACGCCACAATTCAAGCCAAGTATCGTACTTCGTATTTGCGGCTTCACTGCCATGAATGACAAATACGATATGCAAATTTTTTTTTTTTTTTTTTCATCTTATCACGCAACGAAGAGTCAGCGGGTTTCGTTCGATTCACGTGTTGTGTTTGTGGTGAGTTGTTGGAGATCAGGTGAACTTGTAGCGGAGCGATGCGACATGTAAGGTACGTTTTGATAGCCGGTCTTCCTCCTTGGCTTTTCACTGCATTTCCAGTGAGACTATTTACGTAAATGGCTAGAGATTGTCTAGCTGTGGGTTTGGAGTTTGGGCAGCATCATCCTTTGAATATGATGGGGTTTTATACCGTTGATCTGGTTAATAGGGTAAGATAGAGAGGGTATACTATCTGAGGATTAGATGCTCTTACCTTGGGTACGAAGGACCCAACCTCCTCCACCCCTTTTTTCTATTATCTCGCTTAGCGGCGGAAATATCTTGAAAGGAGCTCATGCGATTTGTTTGGTCTATCGAAGCTTTACATAGTGTTTAGCGCGTCAGGATGAAACTGATGATATGTTTCACAATGTTTCAATTGAGTCCTCTTAACTATGTACAATTCTGGCCCTTAAAATCATGCCAACAAACTATCAACTTTCGCTTTTCATCGATGTTCCCTTAGCGTGAGCAATCCACGACGTATCGTCCAGCGATCTTACCCTCGTGCTGTTGAAAGAATTAGTATGGTGATATTTCAACTGAGATGATTAGATTGACGTACCATGAGTTCATAAACACTCTGCAGTTCTGACAAGCCAACAGTCTTGAATGGTGCCTTGATCAGACCACGTCTGAAGAACTCGATGGCCTCAGCGGAGTCAAGTCTGTTACCAACATAGGAGCCCTTGATAGTGATCATCTTGACGACTGACTCAAAGACTGGTGCACGGAGATATGCGCCGGCTGGGAGACCGATGCAAACGACGGTGCCACGAGGACGAACGTACTGTGATATGTTAGCTAAATTCCAATAGAGTAGTTGGTGGCACATACCTCGGCAGCCTGTTGGAATGGCTTCTCGTTGACAGCAACCAAAAGGACTGCGTGGGGTCCGAGGCCATCGGTGGTGGCAGCCTTCACATCACTGACGATGTTCTTGCTGGTGGAGAAATCAACAAAGTGCTGGGCTCCAAGCTGAGCAGTCATCTTCTTCTTATCATCACCAGCATCGATAGCAATGATGTCGAGACCCATAGCTTTGGCATATTGGCATGCGACTGATCCAAGTCCACCACCGGCACCAACAATAGCAATGGTCTGCCCTGGACGTACTCCTGATTCCTTGATTCCCTTGTAGACGGTGATACCGGCACAGAGGATTGGCGCGATAGACTCAAGATCACAGTCCTTGGGGATGCGAGCGACGTGTGCGGCCTTGGCAATGGCGTATTCCTGGAAACTGCCATCGACGGTGTAACCTGAGAGCAGCGCCTTTGGGCAAAGTGGCTCATCGGATTGTTGACAGAAGCTACAGTTTAGGCAAGAACCGTTGAGCCACTGTCGCAGAAGAATATCAGCCATTGACATCCTTTTTCAAAAGCATTTGCTGCTGATTCAGGAAGGCTTACCTTGACACCAGCATAGTCACCAATTTCAACGTCCTCAACGAGAGATCCACGTGCTACAACAACACCAGCACCTTCGTGACCACCGACAAGGGGGAGCTTGGTCTCCAATGGCCAGTCACCGTTGACAGCGTGTAAATCTGTGTGGCAGACACCGGAGTATTTAATGTTGATGAGGACTTCGTCGGGGCCTGGCTTCTGAACTGGGATTCTCTTGTAGACAACAGCTGTGAAGAGTGAGTACTCTGCGAACCAACAGACGCCAACGCATTGTGTATAGCGAGTAAATGATTATGAAAGAGAGACATACGCTTTCCGGTTTCTTCAACAACTTGGGCCCATTGCTCGGTTGGGATGTTTGGCGCCATTGTATTTAATTTGCGGTTTTTGGGGGGGTAGGTTGATTGTTAAGTTGCGATTGTGATTGTGTGATAGATTTCGAGGTAGATAAGGTGGAAGATGGTTGTCTGTAGAAATGGTTTGTTCGGTGGGAAGTTGGGCTCCTTATACTCATTCACGGAACATGCCACTTTGTCTTAGCTACCCCTCCAACCCTCCAACGCGTGGCGCAGTACAGCTCAGTAAAGTCTGATCAGTGGGGTGGGGTGGTGCATCACGCCGATTTAGAGCCTGGCTCCGCTTTCTAAAGCTTACCTCGCAACCTCAAGACTTTGGCTTCATGATTTTGCATTGCATTGCATTGCAGGGAAGAATTGGACCAAAGGATTCATGCTAATCCTAATTCTAGTTCCTGTTGCCCTTGGTTGTGAGTCCGCTGCGCCGTCAATCGAGGCTGTTGATCGAGGCTGCCCCTCGCAAAAGTGGATGGCAGAGGAAGGGATTGGTTGCCGTCAGCTTGTAGCTCATGGCGGACCAAAGGGGCTCACGGGTGTATTCCGTGAGTAGGTATGATGGTGATGTGTACCTGCTGGTACTACGGGAAGGTTCCATCTTACTTACGGTGTACTCCCAGTTCGGATCAACATGGGCATGGTTTACCTTAGTGCTTGGAAGCACCCAGCAGTGCATTTTCATGGTTCTATTATTATTCCATCCCAGCCCAACTTGATGTGCAAACAGAGAAAACACGTGGGGGTGGTCTGATATCTCTGCTTACAGTGTAGTAGCTAGCATCTTATCTACCCGCAATGCGGCCGCGCCGAATCTCTGCCACAGAATCTCATGATAATCGAGTGATTGGGTCGAGGATCGCTCCAAGGGTCCAGCACCCCTATCTTAGATCTGGTAAATCGATAAACGAAATTTTCGTTAGTCTTGAAGAGTTCTGTCTACGTAGGCATAAGGCGGAACGGATGCTACCTTAGACCCCTAAAGATAGATATTTACCTAAAGAACTTCTTGTGGGGGAAGTCCCGCCCGTGGCTATGATGCGGGGTAGAGTACTCGTAGGTACCTAGTACGAAGAACGCGACTCAGTTACCATAACCTAGGGAAATCGCCCCTTGATCCGAGATACAGCTTCAACGGAGCTCAGGAAAAACAATATTCCTTTCAAGCGCAGATACCGTACTCCGAGGATTCTTTGATGAAACTCGGGCCTTCGGAAGCTAGAGCGATCCTCTAAAGGCCCGAGATCTTGCACATAGCAGCTAACATCGTACCATACCTACTTGGTAACTAGGTAATACTCGATTCGTCCTTCTTTGCTCGAAGGACCGACTATCAATCCATAGAAAACAAATATGCTGAAGTCGATGGCGCGGCCCGACTTTTTGATATGGGATGGGACCTCCATTTGGCATTCAGTACGAAGTAAAGCAGGTATAGCGATGGGTTGGGATCTTTACCCGCCATGAAAAACTGTCCTTCATAAAGCAGCGAGAGTGCGTATAACTTAAAGTAGTTTTAGTAATAAAGCAAACGAAGTACAAAAGTAGATATGAACACTTACTATTTATTCCGTACCTAGGTACCAAGTCTCGCATTGTCTTTCCACAACTCGTCAAAGGAGTTTGACGAGATCTTTATACATACTTGATGTGGCACCTCTTTGGGTACACTGGATGTCATCGAACACGCTGATGGAATTGCACTATAGACACCTGTTCGTGATTGGCCTTGGCTATGTTCAATCATGTGCATTATTTATTGGATTGCAAAGATACCTTACCCATGTTTTCCATCCCATGGAAGGATTTTGGGGGTTTTAGATTGCCTTCAGCTTCCTCGGAATACTCCCTCTATACGTGAGCTGCAAGTTGATGCCATTTTCAAGTTGATTGAGCAAGTACTCTATTTTTCCAGATTGTTCGTCTATTGTTCGGTGGGTAAGCGAGATCATTAAGGGGTACCTATCTAGGTAGTACCACTACAATTAATTCCAGGGCCATCAGAGCCATACTTTGTCTATTTAGACAAAAGGCAGAAATCAACCAACTTGTTGGACGCCAAACACAAATGCCGAGACGGTCGTCATGATCATTGCATTTATTTCTAAGATCCACAATCAGGAAGGGCTTTTGTTCCGCCAAAATCTATCGTTTTGCCATGCCCAAGCACCCTCGAAAGGCTTCGGTTGCTTGTGTTACCCCTATTCCACCAGATCCCCCAACTGCTATTTAATATGCCTTACGATCCACCGGGCCCTCCTAACAAAGCGAATCTTCGGACGATACTGGGGCCTATTTCATCGTATTCGGCCTGGCAGCATGTTAGCATTCGAAATTTCCAACGCAGGGTGTAAGACATAGCCCTATCAGCTTACCTTTGTGTGACAATAACTGCGGAACTCGGGTGTTTGACCCAAAAGACTACCTCCAAACCATGGTCCATGTCGTTGTCTCTTGTGGGAAATTACTTGCACCTCCAACCCACCACTTCTGGCACCCCCACTCTTCGCCTCGCTGGCTCTAATTCTATCATCAACAAGGTGCTTGATGTCTCGTTGTAAACGGCGTCCAAAATCTTTGTACAATGTGCTTCCTCCAGAGAGCACGATGTTCTTGTATAGACCTCGGCGAACATCAATGGGTGAGGATTGGATCACGCCGTCGACAACTGTGGGGAGAGGAGTCAAGAAGTCCGAAGAATAGATCTCGGGGTTGAAAAATATTTCTGGTGCGAGAAAGCGCTCGTAACCGACATCGACGGTGACTTTGCGGCCACCGGGCTGGTTTACCAGATGCTTCACAAAGCGAGTAGGGTCGCGATCGAATCGGGAAAACTCTTTGACAATATCGGGGCATACATAACAGTATTCCTCTTTGATTTCTCCAGCTGTTTTGAGTGAGGAGTCGGGCTCGCCGCGATCTCGGAGAAGGGATTGGACGAAGTAGGTAATGTCTCGACCAGCGATTGGAATGGACTTGATGGATGAGCCAATAACGTAACCCTCTGCTACTGGGATTACGTGCGTCACACCATCACCGGAGTCGATCACGGTACCCGTTAAAGAACGGTCTGAGACTTTCGATGAAGTCCAGGACGCGGCAAGAGCTAGGACAGCCTGCACAGCAATGTATAGTCCGGCACAGTTGAAGGACTCAAACATGATTTCGGCAGTGTTTTCACGGTTTTCGGGAGGGTTGAGCGGCTGTATTAAAAATTATATCAGATGTGACTTCAAGGCTTGAGGGGCGCTATTATACGTACGGGTTCTGTCAGGAGAAAGTGATGGTCTTCTGGCTCAACGCGAAGGTATTTAAATATAGAGTTCGACCAGAATCTCTCCATATGATCCTGCATCTGTTAGTTTATGTCCATTCATTCATAATAGTAATGGACCTACCCAGTTCTCAACCTGACCGTGTCGGATGGGGTAATGTATGCCATAACCTGAGCCTGTCAGCACCTTTCCATCCTCAGCTTTCCATTCAATGTACCTGGTCCATTTGCTGCAGCCAACGCTTCATCGCCAATGAAGAAGTCCAAGTCCTCCGTTCCTCGCTTCATTGACAGATGTCCACCGGGGCCAGCTCCGCCAGTGAGATATGACGGCTTGTTGGCCACTGAAGGGCGGCCAGATCCCGAACCTCCACTACCACCAGCTGCCGGGCCTTTAGTTGCTATTGCGGTTGGGAAAACGAAGGAGGGAGAGTCGTTGCCGGCGAAACCTATAAAATACGGATTAGCTTTGCTGGAGCAGAAATGAATACAGCCACCCTACCAAGCTTCGAAAAACCAGTACCGCTACAAATGAAACATTAGCATATTCCGTAGTATTCAACTAAGGCGATTCCGCAAGCTTCGAGGGGGTGCCTCGGGGGGTTGGAACATACTTGTCCATGACAACGGCGGGAGTTTGGGAAGCCATGTTGACGAGAAGCGTGCGCCTTGCACTCCCAGCTATTCGGAAATGCTATGCGACAGCTTCGAGACAGTGGCTTCTAGAGAAGAATTGATGTTGTCGTCGTCGGCCTTGCTCTGTTTCGAAAGATGACGACCAAAATGGGGCAGACGTAGGCAGTGTGTATCGCAGTCCCACCCCGCGGTGAGACTGAATTGTGTCACGTGCATCCCCACAAATTTGACTTGATAGGACGCCGACGCCTCACCTCAACTCACTCACTCTTTCCTTTCCAACTTCACTTCTCTTCCGAGGAAAATGAAGGAAGGAGACCATTGCCCCTAAAACTGAAAACCAGTTCTTTATAGCAAAGTAGAAAGAGGAAGGATCCAATGACAATGCCTGCCAGAAGCTTAACATGATGGAAAAGTTTGCATGCACACCGTCCAGCATCTTTTAAGAGTACATCCATCTCTGTCCATCAACATCATATCCACCATATCCCTTTTCACGGTCTTTTGCCTCACCGTAGACGCTCGTTTGGGAGCCCTCCTTGTCCATTCATTTATTTATATGGGAGGCAAGCTCTTGGAATATTGATCCCTCGTTTCACTGTTTCTCGAGCATCACCACCTTTTCAATCCTACTGTCGAGTAAGACTTCACGTTTCCTACGCACTCCGCGCGGCCCAATACCTAGGGCATATTAGGTATTCACCGACATTTTCTTGTCACATCATTGCTATTATTTTGAATTCACTCTCCTAAACTTCTATGCAGGTTATTGACGTTGGATTGTCTGCTGTCTCCCTCCCCCCCGGAGTCTTATTTCTGCGCCTACCTACCGCCCTCACAAACAACTCCTAAAACTTTCTCGAATCTCTATACAAGATTATTCCACATGCTCACCTACCAAGTTAGATCTCCTACTATTAGCTTGCGGGCAACTCGACGCCGATAGCCATCGTCGATACCGCGCTTCGGTGAAGTCGTTTCTATTCACCATACGGCTTCCTCATAACATTCTCCACTGTTTGCCCTGCATCACTTACTTTCTCTGATCTGTTACCTCCGATTCCATGCAGAACCAAAGCCTTCAACCTCGACACTTTCAAATCCACAACACGATAAGTACTGCACGAGAGCGACTTCGGCAATTCCGCCGTGACCTGTCCCATCATTTCCGGAAGTCATCATCACAGGCGTGCGAAATTGAAACCGCTCCGCCCATAGGAGCTGAAAGTGATAGTCCAAGAAATTCGTCGAACAAGCTTCAAGTACTTGAACCCGATCCAATTCCCCCGTCTTCTGGTTCTAGCACAGCCAACACGGCGAGCTCTATAAAGGCTATGGACGGTGCTGCTGAGAGATTGCTCTGGCAGAACAACCCACAATTTTGCCCTCAAACTTCTGCCGTCTTTGTTCATGCTGGCGCTGGCTATCATAGCACGACCAACGAGCATATTCACCTAGGTGCTTGCGATGAGTATGTCCATCTTCCAAATCCGCAGAAAGATTGACTTCCGAGCTAATTGGTCTCTAGTGCCGCCAGATTGGCAATGCAGGTGCTTAGAGGCGGGGGCTCAGCTGTAGATGCTGTCGAAGCAGCAATCAAGGTACTTGAAGACAAAGAGATCACCAATGCTGGGTTCGGAAGTAATCTGTCTATTGAAGGTATTGTTGAGTGCGATGCTACTATCGTTGATCACATGGGACGGAGCGGAGCCTGTGGTGCTACTGCTCGTAAGTAAAATTTACATCCCCTAAACCCTTTTACCTTAGCCAAGACTAACGTAGCGGAATTCAGAAATAAAGAACCCCATACACCTAGCTCGAATAATTCTAGATGCCTCCAGCAAACCATTATCACTTCGGAGAGTCCCGCCAAATCTTCTCGTCAGCCAAGGAGCAACTGATTTCGCCTACGAACATGGCATTCCCGTTGTGCCGCACGATGCTATAGTCTCTAAGAATGCACGGGACCGCTATGTCCGCTGGCGAGACGATCTGCGCCGTGCTGACAGAGGCCGTATGACGCCCAATACTGGCAGTGACCCAGGGGGTGATACCGAAAGCATAGATCACGAGTACGAAGAGCGGGTTCGAAATCAGCAACGTCGAGATCATACAAATGCATTATTGCATGGCACTTGGAACGAGGGTCAACCTGACTCTCCTCAACTCTCGCCTAGCATCGAAAAGCGACAGACAGATGATACAGATCAATATCCAAGTCGCCGGTCTCCAGTCCCTGCACCCTCAATTGGCGATCCATCCAGCCAGTCTAACCTACACCAACGCAGCCGATCCCCCAACAGCTCGCCTCCGAAGCGCGTGAGATATACCACCGATTCCCAACTTCGCACGCGGTCGTTACTTGGACCTAGCAATTCGACCACGGATCTTCGCACAATACCTGATGTTCGCATGACAATCGGGGATGCTGCAACAGCCAGGCGTCAGTCAAAGCCCGAATACAGTGACGGTACATTATCTCCAACACATGAGGCTATTGATAAACTACTCTGGTCTGAAGGATCTGCAGAGTCACTGCTGGAACCTCTTCAAAGGGCCATTCCCAAAGATGACATGATTACAGATACTGTAGGCGCCATTGCCATCGATATGTATGGTAACATTGCCGCTGGGTCGTCTTCGGGCGGCATTGGTATGAAACACCGTGGTCGAGTAGGTCCTGCTGCACTCGTAGGAATTGGTACCGCCGTCATACCTGTTGACGAAAAGGATCAAGAAGGGATCAGCGTCGCAGCAGTGACCAGCGGTACTGGTGAACACATGGCAACTACGATTGCTTCTCAGAAATGTGCAGAGAGACTTTACTACAACACTAGGCGAGCTCGAGGGGGTAAAGACATCGATGCAACGGAAGAGGAGGCCATGGAATCCTTTGTCCAAGCCGACTTTATGAGCCATCCGGGTGTCAGTGCCAGTAACTCGGCCGGCGCAATCGGGGTGATGGCGGTCAAAAAGACTCACTACGGTTACTTCCTCCATTTCGCACACAACACCGACTCCTTTGCTCTGGCGTCGATGCATTCCAATGAGAAAGTGCCAAAATGTGTCATGTCACGACTTGGCGAACACGGAACTACCGTTCAGGGTGGCCGTAAGATACGGGCATAACTAACTTTGAGGCTGGCAGAAGTATCACTATAGATATACATCCCTCTCTTACTTGAGTTCTCGGAATCGGTCAATAAGGAAAGGCGTTTGTGAATTGATTAGCCGGGTAATGCTTGGATGAGCTTATGGACTTGAAAGTATTGCTGCATGGCATAGGCGTTGAGCAGGACTGACAGTCCTGGTGGTACAAATTTGAACATCGAGATTTAACAAGGCGGCGGAGGAGAAAATTGAGTGGATGGAAGACTGGGCGGTCATGGCTACTCATTAGCTATGTACCTCTACCGATACCCCTAGAACAATGAAACCATAATACCCTAGGGAACTTGTTCATACTGCTACAGACGTCTGATTAGATCTAAGACATCTGAAAAAACACCCTGGCTCCAGAGTTCTTCTCAAGCAAACACTACTGACTAATAGGATTACATGCACCCATACTTCAAAATCAATAACTACAAGAGCATGTTTCTTTCTAGATCTTTACTTCGAAGATAGCTATTCTACGATTCGTCTGATCAAGGTTTCTTCGCTACCTGCTTCACAGTTTGGGCAAGGGGCACAGGAACAGAAAATTCCTTGTCTATAACTCTTGACATCTGAGTTATTCCCCAGGTACTGGTGTTCCCCTTGCACTAGGCGTATCCCCTCCCCCTCCATTAACCCTCCGCTTTTTCTTCTTCTTCCGCGGCACAACCGCTGGTTTCGCCCCATAGTCCCCTAATGCAAGATGCGTAGAACACGTCAAGCAGATAGCTCCTTCAGGAGGAGAGCAAAAAACTGTTGCGTACTTAGACTATGTAGATTATATACCGAGTAAAATAGGAGGGGGACTTACTGCTCAAGCAAATACTGCACACGAACCCCACATCCACGACTTTTCTGTGACAAAAACACGCAGCGCGAAAATCAACCACTTCCTGCGTGGGTGCTACCAGATGTTTCCTCGCCATTTGATCAGGCAGGAATGCCATCATGAGATACTGTAGTAGTCCTTGAGGACTACGCAAATGCATGTAGATCCCTTTGGTGGTGTCTGATGCTTGTTGCAAGAACACGGTATCCCCTGCTAGCTTCAGAATGTCGATGGGTATCCGCAGGCGTTGAGCTGCGAATGTGGTGTTCATTATGGGGATATATTGGTGGGCTAGATCGCCGGAGACCGAGACGACGAGGATGCGGCTTTGCAGACCGGTCGTATTTTCGGGAGCGTCGATGGCATTTGTCGCTGGTTTTGAGGAGGAGGTAGTGTCGGAGTACAACACTGTGGCTTTGTTTATGTAGGAGAGGGCCAGTGTGAGTGCTCCCGCCATTTGAGTGGTGCTAGTTGTTGCCACATCCTTTTCGGCCGTAGTTGAGATCAGGTCTCGGAGGGAGGCGAGAAGACTGTTTTCTATGAGGGCGAAGGGCCTGTATTTATTCGCATCGTCGAGCTTGGGGGGTTGGTCGTTTGTCATTTCGACGTCTTCTGAGGACGAGGAAGAAGGGGGTCGAGGGTACAGCCATACTGCTCGGTGGCTGTGGCTTGCTACCACGGCTACCTGGTTTGCATTGTTGACTGCAAGGTGGGCGTTTATGAAGACGAGGATGTTCGCTATCGCTTTCGAGAGGGGCAGAGTTGGGGCGAGGAGGGCCCAGGCATGAGGGTTCGTATCGAGGACAATGACTAGGAGGGACGGTGAAGGACCTGTTTTCTAATCAGAATCCAGAACACATTATAGGATTCGTAGGGAATGACCTTCAACGGCAGCCTCATAATGATCCGAGCCATCTACCGCATTCATATTGGAGTTCGTCGAGGCATGTCAGCCTAGGAGAATGAACGAGTTGAGGATGTTGGTGGGGTGGTTTTGAAGCTACGGAGCGACATATAAAAGGAAGATTGTAGCGACAGTTGCGACGGTGACGGTGTGTATATTCTCGTCTACTCTGCTCCTCCTCATCTGGTCTGTTCACCGCAAGTCTTGCCAGGTCTGATGTTCTTCTTGTCTCGGTCTGCGATTCTGGCAGGTACTCGGTAGATGAATATCCTTGTCGCGAATCTCACTCACAATCCCTGTCGAATTCCTCACGCGTTCCCGTGATTCAGCCTTGCACATACACTATTTGTCGACCCCTCAGACCACCCCACCAACATCTCTACTCCATCTTCATTATCAGCCACCTTCACGCGTTCGGGGATTTCGACATGTCGTCTCCTCCGACGGAGGTGTTTGATCCGAGTGTTCCCGCATCTCGTAATGATGTTCAAATCAACAATGAGTCCTTGGAGGACAAGACCTTGCTGCTTCTTGCTCGACTGATGGAAGCCGGGCTAGAGGATGAGACTATCTGCAAGGAATTGAGCGCTCTCACTAAGCTTCTCAGTGACGATTCAGCGCCCGACACCAGGTCTTCGGAGCCACATACTCCAGTATACCAACTAGTTGACTCCGACTTTGTGGACACTATCCTAGGCTACTTAGACATGAGGCAATCCCCAATGGTTCGAGGTCATGCAACTCTGACAATAGCGGCTTATCTCAAAGCAGCCGGGGACCAAGGTGTCGAACTTCTTTCCCAATTCTTCTATTCACGGGTAGGGAAGGGCACCTACGATGATTTCATAATTGCCTTTTCAGTAGCGGCGTCAATCTTTCCTATTGTTCCAGATATCACGGCAACTCTATTCCTGAGTGAGGGTTTCGTGCCAAACCTTGGTCCTCTCATGAAGAGAAGGTGGAAGAGCAAGAAGGTCGAACAAGCTGCCCTGGAGATGCTTAACACTGCATGCATGAATTCCCCCTGCAGAGAGGCTATCAAGAAGTACTGTACCGAGTGGCTGGAGGACATAGTCAACGATGTTCCGGCTGATTTTCCAGAAGTCAATTCTCCTGAAAGGCATCATGTCGCCGAAGATGGATCCATCCAGCAACGAATTCATTCTGAACCTGTTCGGAATCTTGCGGCGGTTGTACTCGCGAAGTTGCAGGTAAGTGCCCCTTGATGTCTTCCCTCCAATCTCTACTGTTACAAACCAAGTTATTCTATGTTTTGAAGTAATCTGACTGACTTCAGGATTAAAGGCTGTTCCTTCCGCGCCTGATCCAGGGACGGAAGAACGTGTTCAAGTTGCTACAACCAGCATGGAAGAGCTCTCTGATATGTTCAAAGACATGCTTTCTGCAGATGGGGCCCAACAGAGTTCAATAGAGGGATTGGCATATGCGTCTCTGCAACCCAAGGTCAAGGAGAAACTAAGTAGCGACAAGCCATTCCTAAAGAAACTCGTCAAAGCTTTGGCAGAAGCTCCTGCGAAGTCTCCTGCAACTTATGGAGCACTCAGTACTTTGATGAACCTCACCACTTATTTGCCAGTAATGTCAGAAGAGCAAAAGCGCATAAGTCAACTCAAAAATTACGCGAATGCTTCCAAAGCCTCCTCCAAACCCGATCCCTTGAACGACGATGATCATGTCTCAAAGCGATGTGAAGCTGTTTTCGAAGCTGGTGTCATTCCGGTTTTAGTCACGCACAGCCAACACGGATCAGTCGCATCGTTATCACTTGTTGTCTCTATTGTTTTCTCACTATCCAAAACTCCGAAGATCCGCGGCCAGATGGCGCAGCAAGGTGCCATCAAACTTCTACTACATGCATACTCGCTATTCCCAGAAGACAATACTGCAGCACGTCGCACAGTAGGCCATGCGCTTGCTCGCATTTTAATCTCTACGAATCCGCAGCATATATTTGGAGGCTCCAATCCACTATCCCTAACATCTGCTATCCGTCCTCTCGTTCTGCTTCTCTCAGATGACCCTAACGTCGAGCAACGGGATCTTCTCCCAGTATTCGAATCCCTTTTGGCGCTTACCAATCTTGCCTCCACAGACGATACTGCTCGAAACGCCATCATCCGTATATCATTTCCGCAAATCGAGGAGCTCCTCTTGTCGAATAACAAAATGGTTACTCGCGCAAGTGTTGAGCTCATCTGTAACCTCATGTTATCACCAGAAGGGGTAGCAAAATTTGCAGATGGAGGAAAGCAGGCAAGCCAGAGAATGCACATATTACTTGCTTTAACGGATGCGGAAGATTTTGCGACAAGGAGAGCAGCTGGTGGCGCGTTAGCTAGCCTCACGGAGTGGGATACGGCTGTGAACGCGATTTTGGAAAGAGATCGCGGCGTTAAATTACTGTTGGGGATGTGCAAGGATGATGGAGAGGAACTCAGGCATAGGGGAGTTGTTTGCGTTTTGAATGTTCTGACAGCACCTGATAAGGTGGGAGAATGGGGGATCAAGAAAGTGAAAGATGAAGGAGGCATAGATGCGTTGAAGGAATGTCTCAAGAAGTCGAGAAGCCAGGAAGTCCTCGAGATCACTGTTGAAGCATTGAAGAAGCTGCTTGGGGATGAGCAACCGGGAACTGTAAAACAGTTGGGAAATTGAAGTCAATTGTTCGTCTACTACCTGTTTTTGTCTGGGTTGAGCCTTGCAAGCTTGCATGGCGTCGCAAGTTGAGTAAGATGACGCTGTTCCAAACAGGCTACCTTGTGATATTCCAGATTCCTTCTTGTCAAGGATGACTTCTGCGCTGCTTGTGCTTTGAAGGCAGTTACCTACAGATACTTCCTGCCCGCTTTCGTGTAGCCAATTAAGCGAGCGAGAAATAGGGGCTGGGCTGGGGTCGCACTTGCCTTGTAGGCAGATGATCTAGCTGAATAATACTCTCTTCCGTATGAAACCCGAAACCGGAAACATCCCACTCTCAATACCTAGTCAATAAATTCGAGGATATCGTGCTGGGCGCGGCTCTTGCAGATTGGGTGTCTGTAAACGTACGTACGTATGCTGTGTTTATTGTATGTATACAGCTCCAACAACGTGCATGGCGACAGCACACACACACGCACTTCCTGCGAATGCACATGATAATATACTCAACTTTTATATCTATCATTCAACATGATATGCCGGCATGCATATACGTTGTTTGTTACTCATACATACATACATAAATACATGTAGATATACTATCAATCACATCCTGCTTCTGAAACCAAACCAAACCAACCTTCCACCTGCATATGCGCACGCAGCCAGCCAGCCAGCAAGCAAGCTCAACCCTCTTCTGATATATGATTGAATTCTCACTCTCACCGCCTACTACACTATACCTACCTACCTACATAGATAACATGCACGGGCATGGGCATGGATGACATGCACAGTAAATTCAGCATTGGCAGTCAGTAGTGACACACACACACTATCTATCTATCAGTTATGAATTGATGACACTGACGCAAGGCAAGTCTGCTCTGCATCTGCTCCGCTTACCCTTCCTTGGATTGTCGATCTAGCTATGGTGATAAAATCCCCCACGAGACGCATTGAGATCTTCTTTCTGCATAAAGACTTTTCGGCCTTTCATTTGCTTGCTTGGCTCGCAAAAGGCAATGTGACCTTTGGAGTAGGGTAGGGTAGATTCGCGGCTACCTTGTACAGTACATATTATTTTCGCGCTAGGGAGATGTAGGGACAATTCAGAGGTAGGACTGACTATTCAGAGGCAGGATTGAGCCGTAACAAATGAATGGGCTGTATGGCATTGATGCTTGTCCAGCGGTTAGAAACTACATCTGTGAAATTCAGGTTCAGAAGAACGGAAAGGAAGAATCGAGGGCGACGCCTACCTATGGCAGGCATTCCGAGTCAAAATTCACCACACTCTTCAGGTTGGAAAAATAATCAATGCCTTTCGTACCTGTAACGCCCCGCCGATTCCCTGTCTCCCACAGTTCTCATGAAAACCATATATACAATGCAACAAGGAAAAGTGATGCCTGGTCAATTTCCCGTCAATGAGAACTCGGAAAAGGAACAGAATGTGCTCCATGCAGTGATGCCAAGAAAATGAGATAAGAGAGCGCCATTTGTCCTGCTCTCAGCAAGCATACGCATGTTTTCCGAGTCTCCTACTCCTACAATCTCACAATATGTCGAACAATTCTGCACGCCAGAATAGGGAGCGAGCTTCAATAGCACATTCAATTCCTCCCGTCATATCGACCGTTGTTTTGGTCCTCCATTTGACCCTCTTCTCCGTCGTGATGTAACGTGACCGAGTTAAACTCCTCGAATGGGTCGACGATTTCCCCGGCGGGGGTGGCTAAACCCGAGTCAAGTGGTACTCCTGTTGGTAACGTCATGCCTCTAGCACCGCTGATATCAACGCTTTCGCTCTCCTTTACATTCCTAAAGTTGACGGTGTCAATTCCCCTGCCTTGATGCGGAACCATGGGTGGCTTCATGTGACGAATCAGGGCCCACTGTGTGGTTCGGAAGAAAGGGTGTGTCTTGACGTCTGATGCTCCGGCGCGAGCTCCTAATCGGCGGTTCTCGTCTTTGATCAGCAGCTTACGGATCAGGGATTTGCAAAGACTGTTTGTGGCGTTAGTAGGACGACTTTAGTGTGAGACAAGTATAACTGACTTTGAAATTTGAGGAGACCCAGAATGCTCTGGAAATGGTACATCGTCTCTCAGAATATTGGCAAAAGTCGCATTGCGATTCTTGCCCTTGAAAGGCGTCGTGCCGAACAACATCTCATAAATTAAGATGCCTAGAGTCCACCAATCCACCGCACTTGTATGACCACAGCCTTTGATAACTTCCGGCGCAATATACTCCTCAGTGCCGACAAAGGAGTTTGTTCGGAAGTTTGCTATGCAAGACTTGGTATCGATCGTAGGAAGAGAGTTCGAATTTGTGCCACCTCGGCCGAGAATCATTGTTGGTTTTCCACCAGGATCAGACTGTTTCGACAAATCAAAGTCCGATAACATGATATGTCCTGATTGGTGCAGAAGAATGTCTTGGATGGTCAATATGTGCTCATGGATTTGCGGAAGCAAACTCACTTTCTGGCTTTAAATCTCTGTAAATAAATCCCATCAAATGGAGGTATTCCAAAGCAGCTGTAACCTCCGCAGCGTAGAATCTAGCATCTTCTTCTGGTATACACTTCCCAGGTCGGGTTTGTAATGCTCTGAAGAACTCACCACCGCTACAATATTCCATGCATAGATATAAATGGTCCTCCGACTGGAACGAGTGGTACAGCGTAACAATGAACGGATGATTGCTAGTAGCCAGGATCTCTTGCTCAGCCAATGCTCTCTTGATCTTGTTACGTTTGATCATCTCCTTCTTGCTCAATACTGTCCAAATGTTAGCTGACAAGCCACAACCAAGCCGTAAAATACGCACCCTTCATAGCATACAGCCTACTACTCTTTTTCTCCCGCACCAAATAGACCTTCCCCACATCTCCCTTCCCAATCAACTTGATCTTGTCGAAACTTCCCGGGCCAACTTCGACATTTCTAACCTTGATGGAATTCGAACTGTATGTCCTCCTGAATGCCAACGGAGTGGGCGGTGGTTGTAAATCTCCAAGACTGTCCTCCGCAGGCATTCCAAGTGAGCTTCCGTTCGCTCCATCGTTCTTGGAGTCGATCAAAGCCAGCATGCTTGTACTGGCATTATGTGCTAATGGCGCCTTACCAAGTTCGGCGGTAGCTGGTCTATCCCCATCGCCTTTGGACGAAGCAAAGAGACCTTGTGCATTTGGAGCGCTGGCAACTCTTCTTAATCTTCGTGCCAATTCCTCCTTCCCAGCAATCGTAGCCTGATCATTCGCTCCGGAGACTGCATCGATTTTCAGTGTTGGGGTGTCGGGGGGACTCGGAGGCACCGAGCCTTCATTGTGGTGTCGTAAAGCTGGAGGTCCTTGATGGGCAAAGTATGGGTTTGCGTGGGCTGTCGGACTAAGCCCATCGTCCAATGCATTGCCCTCACTAGCAACGGTAGTAGATCTATTCCGGCCAACACTTGGGAAGAATTTGGATTGTCGGAAGTAGCTCTTGTTTTCCGACTTTAATGACCCATCGTGCTTCTCGTTGTTGTTGTTATTGTTGTTGTTGCTGTTGCCGGAGCTGTTGATTCTGAAGAAGTTCTTGAGCTTCTGCGGGAAAGGGCTATGGCCATTACTGTGCTTGTTCGTCATCGAGTGACCAGAGAAGTTCCGCTTCTCGTTGGGGATGGAGTTGGACAAGGGCGAGGTGTGGGATATGGCAGTCATTGAGCTGGAGAGGCAGCTTTCAGGGACGCTGCTTCTCTTAGCAAGGAATTCTCAAAACCAAAGTTAGGGATTGGTGGTCGGGAGGGAAGGAATGATGTTGTCGTTGGTCTGAGGTCGTTGATGCGGGTGTTGGACCGTGCCCAGGGTTGATAATCAGTTCCCGGAGATGTTAAAGCGTTCGGAAAGGCAGCAGAGTGGAGTGGCGCAGTAGGGAACGATTTGAACGTTACTGTCGGTAGTGCGGAAAGTACAGTCAGTAAGTACAGTCAGTCGTAAAGCATTCAATGCATTGCGGATGCGATGAAGATGAAGTTTTTGTGAATCACTACACTACCTACTAGGTATGAATGGGATGGATGGATGGATGGAATGGATGGAATCTGGTTTGTGCTGTACTGTACTGTAGGGTACGTAGCCTGTAGCCAAGCCAGGAGTTCTGAAACTGGGCCGGCGTATGTCTTTCCAGGGCTGGCGGCACGCTGATTGATTGAATCGGGTAGTGTGGTGTGGAGTGGAGTGGGGCTTCTTGGGCTGTTCTAGGCAGGAGAAGGTGGAGTAAGTGCTTCTTCTGTCTTTCTTTAGATCTTTACAAGTAAGTATATTGTAACCAATCTTCATATTCCCTTGTCTTCATGTTCATGTTCATGTTCATGTTCGTGTTCATCCTTATCCTTATCCTCATCCTTATCCTCATCCTTATCTTCATCTTCAACTACAAACTCCTATATGGTCCAACATGTATGCAGACATGCTCCCCCCTCCCGATTTGTTACCCGTTCTCTTGCGTCCAAGATCTCCCACCCGTTCTATGGAAGCCTCGCCTCCTGAACGCTACTTTACTGCCAAAACCCCACCCCTTCAATCAACCAACCTACAACAAACATGCCCATGTTGTAGCCATCCCATCTCTACTTGTATATTGTATCACAAGATTATGTATCATACTCAGGTAATACCATAGATACCTGCCTGAATTCCCTTCCCTTCCCTCCCTTCCTCGCTCTCCGTCGTAATCCCATCTAGTCCCATCCCCTCGCATCGCCATCGCCACCCGTTTCCACCTATCCTACCCACATATGTACGTACCCGCGAGACAGTCAGACGCCAATAATAAACCCCTTTC